CACTTTTCGGCAGGGGGTGGCTATGATCTTGAGGGAACTGAAGCATCCTGCGGGATTAAAACCCGGATCATCCGGTTCACACTATATGTTACTGACAAGCTATTCGAGCCCCTTTACATAAAACAAAATCAGTCCCTGGTTTTTAATGACTTATTATCATGTTTGAAATTACAAAAGAAATACTGTTTTGCCAACCTTTTCTAGATGTCATGGGAATCAGCAACTCTTGGATTTTGGTTCACGGATTTACTTGACAGGAATGCTCAATTTAGTAATTGGCTTTTTGAAGGTCGTCCAATTTGCTATTGGATGACAGGATTTTTTAATCCCCAAGTGAGTTTCATGTAGGAATGTTTATTTTTAGAGATAACTTCTAGATGCAAACTAATAGCCCATTGTCAAACATCAAATGGAGACCTTTGCGATTGGTCTATTTAGTTTTTAGGTCACAATCGTTAACTCCGAGAAACATTAACAAGCAAATAATGCTATCCAAATAACTATGTGTACTTTTCTCGAAGTATTTGACTCGTCAGATACACTTTTGCTGAAAAAACCAAACGATTAGTTGTTTAGTCGCCTGTACAACCAGAGTTGCAGAAGCAAATTTTATTGTTAAGGTCTACAGAGGGTTTTGGAGGCTATCTCTAGCAATCTACCACTACGTCTACGATCCTAACTAAACACATTTAAATGAATTTCAATTACTACAGAATGGGAGTCGTTTATTCAACCCCTTACTACAGATAAGTGGTAATTTCTCCGAACTTATTTTACTATTTTCCTTTAGATAAAATTATTTTAAACTATAAGATCTAGTAGAGTAGGTTAAAATGACAACTCTGAGCAAAAAACTTCTAGAAAACAAACTCCTATTGAGACTACTTTTAGTTTTGTCCATACTTCAACATGTCGATACTCCTGTGAGAATATTCATTTTCAATACCATTATTTTATGCAGTGATTGTATTTTTAGCATTCATGTGACTAAAATAACTCCTTCAATTTTTGTGCTTGTTTCGTAATTTAAAGAATCAACTTTATACAACAAAAAACCAATTTTAAAACTTTTAATTACTTCATCATGGATAAAGTAACTTTTTTCAACCGTTTTAGCAATTACGAATTGTCATAACTATTCACTATCTTATTTTAGGGCTTCCTCACTGCTATGAGACAAGAAGTGGCCAGAGCAAATAAATATGCCCTAGATGATGTAGCTTTAACAAACGATGTGACGAAATTAATGCGTGAAGAATTAACTAAAGGTCCAACTGAAGGTGTTTACATTCACGGTCTTAGTTTAGATGGAGCTGGTTGGGATCGTAAACAAGCTAGACTAATGGAACCGCTACCAAAACTATTGTACACTCCACTCCCAGTAGTGCATGTATCTGCATTTTCTCAATCAATCGGTGAGAAAAGTAAACCTGGAATATTCTATTCATGTCCAGTTTACAAAAAGCCTAAACGTACCGATTTGAATTACATATTTCCTTTAATGCTTCGTAGTGCAGTAGATGCAGATCATTGGATTTTAAGGGGAGTTGCTCTTTTAGGTGATGTTAAATAGATAATAATAATAATAATAATAATAATAATAATAATAATAATAATAATAATAATAATAATAATAATAATAATGTCTATTTCTATTTATCTGAATAATTTTTTTAAATTCGTATATTACCAAACAAATATAATTTTCATATACGTACATGATAATCACGATCATTACTCCTTTTATATAACATTTATTCTGACAAAGTCTATTAAAAAGTATATCAATAAAGATTAAGAATTTTATGTTCGAGTCAATTACAACCTGAAATGAAGTAGACATATGTCGATTTCCATACAGAAATAATGATCTGCATTTATACGAAGATTTGTACCGTTGATAGATCATGGGTCAATGAATTTCTAATTAACATTATTATTAACCCGCTTGTCCCATGGCCCAAGTAATACATTGTAGATAAGTCTAAAAGCATCCGCAATACTGACTTGGACTAAGGGGCGTTAGGAAAGAACGCAAGGACTTTTCAATGCAGTTATAAATATCAATATCATTAAGTGTATCTATGTTGTATCTGACGTTGTAAGATATCCTGAGCAACACTATACCATCAATTCAGTTTGATCACAAACACTATTCATTAAAATTACCCAGTTTGGAGTACAATTTATACAATAAAACAACATACCACAATGAATAAAACGATTGAGAATTCTTGTGAAACTAAATCTACAATCTACTTGAATAAAGCCATCAATAAGTCATCTACCAACCACGTCAAAACCTATATTGGCCCCCAAAAGTACTGGGATGGCCGAGAGTGAGAAGAGTTAGCTCTCCCTCTCAAAATGCTCGCAAGTGGCCACTTGCATACAACCACTGTCAGGGAAGTCCTACTCACTGTCTTCCTGCGGTAGGGGTGTTGTTTACGAAATTGAGAGGATGAAAAGCGAATGTCCGGGACTCTAACCGGGTTGGTGGATATTGTGGACCCACTTGGGGGAGTTGGAAAACCCTGATTCCAAATCAATGGTGCACATAGGCTCCAGGATCCTGAGCGAACAAATGAGGTATGAACCAGTTGTTGGTCACCGGCTGTTATGAGACTGCATCTTCTGACGTTGCTCCACTGCCATGTGGATCAGATCTTTATGTCGAAGGCTCTGGGCGTGGCTCCCTAAGAAAACCACCCGCTTCGGTCTGGGCATCCGGGTAGTATCACAACCCAGACATAAATCAAGTGACTTTTGTGGCGCATATGCATTCGGTACCCTTTTGTACCAAAATTTATATGTTCCAATAAATAAATAAAATGAGTTAAAGGATAAAAATCATATCTTTAAGTGAAGAGACATATACTAAACTTTTGCTTAATCTGGACAGTTCGCAACCCTTCATTTTTATTTAGATTTGATTGCTAATGCATATTTTAAGCACGGATTGACAAAAATTTAGTAAAACACAGAACGTTATTATCAAATTTTATTTTACGGAAATAACGTAAAGTATGTGGAAATAAATGAATTATAATGCATACTTATCGACTAAACGTAGAAACATGAAGTGACTGCAAAATTACGATGAACGAATACCGTATTATTTTTCACTATTTCATGAATAAATCTCTTATACGACATAAAATCGATCAGGTAAAGGTTATTACATATGTAAATAATACTGGTTTGAAGATCAATTAGTTTAGATACAGAATATCAAAGTGACTCAAAACAATCGTGTTAAAAATCAGCATATATTGGATGTGGTTAATTGTAAAAGACTAAAATATGTTTAAAATGCTTAGTGAAGTTTTCACGCAATACGAATTGAAATCCTATATTTTGCTCAAATGGCAGGTTATTTTGCTACAATCTCATCATATACCTTCCCTTTTGTTGTGTCATTCCGAGATATAGCAACTTGGACCGGTGCAACTTTCTGTGAGGCTTTAGAGTGATGTACTTGTTTGCCTATTAGTCATTTAAACTTGCTGTAAGACTTTTACTGCTGTTCTCACATATTTTCCGTGCTGTGAAGCGACACTACAAATAGACTAAACTATTTAGGAACCATTTACCTATAAAAATTGTTGCTCTGGTTGTTAGAAGGGGCATCGACCTCATGACTTCAGAAAAATCTCATCTTTCAGCGTGGGGCGTCATAATTCTTCCTGCAACTCTCAAGGCAGAGTTTAAATGGTTTAGTTTGTGTAATTTGTGTGGCGTTTTTCAGCAAGATTTTTTTCTTGGGGATGGGGTTGCCGACCAGATGCCCAGCCCTCCTCCTTTACCCGGGCTTGAGACCGGCAGTAACTTTAGAAGAGCTACAGGCGGAGAACTACTACAACCATCATCAAAAAGGTATAATTATTTGTAAACAGTTGTCTACGCAAGATACTCAATATCGGTTGACCGGATACCATCAGCAACAGCCCACTGTGGGAGAGGAAAAACCAGCTTTCAGATGAAGAGAAAATTAGAGAAAAACGTTGGAAGTGGATAGGACGTACATTACGGAAATCACCAAACTGCATCACGAGACAAGCCCTAACTTGGAGTCCTGAAGCAAAACGAAAAAGAAAGAGGCCGAAGAACATATAGCGACTCACGTGCAATTGAGTTTAGTTCAGTCAAGGTCTTTTGTCGACCTATTTAATGGACAAAGTCATCCATGCTATAACAACTTGTTGTACTGGTATTATTATTGTGCTTGTATGAAATACATATGCTTGAACATTGTTTAGCGCCTACGCATGTATTCATTCTGCTAGCTTCATTATGAACTACTTAATCTATTCGCTGACTCATCCATTTTCCTATACATATATATATGTGTACATTTGCACCCATTCACTACAACTACTCACTACTGCTACTGCTACAATCGTAGTTCGCTTGCTCATCCATTTTGCCTCTGCTGTCTGGTCCGAATTATCTGCTAAATAAACTGTAGTAGCTGCTTCTTTTTGCCTTCTGATTTCAAACATCGTTGAAGATTATACGATAACGGTTTGAGGGTGATCAGTTATCGAAGCACAGCCACTACAAACACACTACGTCGAGAATTGGAAGCAGACATCAAAAAAATGAATAGCAACTGGAAAGGATTGTCGAGGACAAGGTTGGATGGAGAGTGCTGGTGGGCGGCCTATGCTCCTTCATGAGAGGTAACAGGAGTAAGTAATTACGAACCATGTGAAAGGACGCTAGAAAGTATTTCTCCTGTCACTGTCGGCACAAGCATTAACACAAAAGCTTGCATATGGTTAGAAATCAAAGTCAGCAATACCGACCAGCACGAATTTATGCTAAATTTTTTGTTCATGTTGATCTGTCTGAATTAACAAATCAGTCCCAACGTAAAACCTGTCATGTATGCACATCAGTTCAAGCTACCATACTCCATTAGGACAGAGAAATGAAACTGTCAGGACAAATCCTAGAACAGCAGAGATAGCTGTAGTATTAACGGTAATAAAACAGATTAGGCATCGAAGATACGATTCAAAAAAATATACATTAGTGAAATGAAAATATAAAAAGGTTATGTGAAATTTATAAGCTCAGAATATAGAGCAAAACAAAGAATGGATGAACCTGCGCGATTACAAACGATTTTGAGTCATCTCATTTAAAGTCTCTAACTACTGGCTACGACAATCATGCGGACTCCAGTCAGGTAGTCTAAACTTGTTTGAATAGGCCATGTTCGATCATTTGTTATCAAATTATAGCTTATCCTTATTCAGATCGGATTTCGAAAATACGTTATGGATGTGTAGATTATGTGGAAGCCCTGGTACACGAAAATCTTGGGCCATAGTTTAGAATCAAGAAGTAGATGAATTGGTACAGAATTATTTTAGACACATGATACAAGAATAAAACAGTTCATTTTTAAGAAAATGTACATAAATTTTCTGACGGTGAAGATAAAGGAATTGTACCAGGAACAAAATTTCCAGCTGAACGATATATAGATAGCTCTTTTTCACTCAGCTGGTCATAGGAGCTATAAATTTCCGAAGCTTCATATCCCCATTCACGATATCGAGATGACTGCATTTTGATTACTTTTTCAGTCTGACGGAATGAAAAACCTGTTAAACCAGGTGATATTGGTTTATTATTGGTTTTACTGACAATATTAGTATCAATGTTAGTTAGGCATCTGGTGAGATTATTTGACTGACCGTTTGAATATTTTGAGTCAATGGCTTCCTTCAAATCTCTGCGATAGGTATGAGATGAATTGGCTGAATAAATGAAAAGTTCAATGTTATTTCAACTAAAATCACTTAAAAGAATACGCAAGGTTTCAGAGGTATAATCAATTACCAATCGATGAAACAACAATTACGAGGAAACTAAACTACATCTCACTGACGTTTGTTTAAATGCCAAAACAGGAAATAATACTAAACTGAAGATTTAAGGGTGGACTCATCTGCGTCTCGATCAATAGATATGCAGCCATATATTAGGGCTACCTCGCTGACATCCACTGTGGAGCTATTATTTTACAATCATTATGTAATGGAAAGCTGATAGCTGCGCATCAAGCCATACTTCGATGATGACTAACACTATATGTCACGTGGCATTTCTTAAACAGCATTTGAGAGTGAAAAAATGCTAATGAAACATTTAACCTTACAGACTAAGTGATTGCACTATATTACGAACCCCTTAGTTTTAGGAAACACTAGCTAACGAAATCTAAACCAACAGATGGACAGAACGTTATGGGCTCAACCCGAACAAAATTCAACAATAAAAGCTTACGAGCCGATATATGTTAGACAACCATTGGAAACGTGGATGCACTGGATGACCGTTTCGCCCTAGTATGGGACTCCTATGTAGCAGACATCTACGACCATGCCAGTGGGGACCGAACCCAGGACTATTAGTTTTGCGCGAACACTTAGCTTATTCAGACCACTGAACCGGAATCTATTGGTGCACAAATCTAACTTCGTTCAGATTAGTTCGTGATATCAATAAAATTCCACAATTTTCATAACCCCATACTGAAAAAGTTGTCTTTCATATTTCAGTATTTCACCTGATGATATTCAGTCTTATTATTTGATGTTTTTATACCATTCAAGGATTAACCATCAGCTAAAAGAAATACATAGTTTGATTAGGTATGGATTAGTTTAAAAGCTCACTAGAATTGAAAATATCATAGCACATGAAATATAAACCAAATTTATCTGTTACCACAACTACCATTTATATTGTGTGAAAATGTACATTTGATTCCATTGTGACAATCACCTTGTAGATAAAATTTACAAGGAATAGATCTAAAGTTAAAAAGAGGGCTTTATGTTTAATTAAAGCTCTACAACAAAAAAATAAATGTTTAAAGCAATGAAATGTATATTATTTGCCCAGCACATTTTATATTATATCATGGATTGTACATAAACCGTACAAAATATCACTTAATAGAATTCATCTGTATTAAACATCCTCCAATAAATGGGCCAAAATACATGAGCAGACAAAAAACAACAAAGCACCATGTGCAACAATGGAGATTTATGAATTAAAGAATTTACATTTCCAGTCGTTATATCTATAGAAGTTCAATTGCGACTTGTAGGAATGAGAGACAGGATACAGTGTCAAAATTTCAAGAGATTTGAGCTTTACGGGTCTGGCAAACATGCTTTAGGTTTTTGATTGAGATTATGAACCGATTGATGTTGGACCACCACCTTTAGGAACCTGGAAGCACTGGAAGGCCGTTTCGTCCTATTGTGGGACTCCTCAGCAGTGCGCATCCACGATCTTTAGGTCTACTGAGCTGAAGTATGGTGACATGTTATAGACTGAGACCCTAAGTATATCTACTGGTTTTATTATGATAGTATAACCAAAGGTCCTTGAAACGAATCTTATCCCCAAGGTTTAACTGAGCAATCAAACACGTTATTAAGTACGCTTATGAGATTATTGATTTAATTTTGGGTATGTAGAAATCAAAAACCTCATTTAAATCTGCAAAATGACTCTTATACATGGTGACTGATTTAAAGCAACATGGCTCCAAATTTGTCAGTGTTGATTCTTCATATTCCTCTTAGTTTTACGCTACATTTCTTCGTTGCTTCTATAAAACTCCGCTACTGTTAGAGTTCTTATTTTTACAGGCGAGATTATTTTATGGACGAACCAATCAGATTTAGGACAATAGGTCTTGCATTTTGGCGCAAAATTCATTCATCCAAACAGTTACATACGGGTGAGGGTAAACTCTACTCTCGTCCTTAATTTCACACTTGTACCAGGCTGCCAGTTAAAATGAAGCGGGAATTATTATATACACTATTTTAATCCATGATGGAGCGCGTGTTTCGCTATCTGTCGCTTTTGCTGGCTTACATGAAGTAAAGTTTTCTACAACGAAAATACCATTCCATTATACCACGGACGTATTGAGTGTAGGAAGAAAAATTACAAGACAGCAAACAATATGCCTCCGATTAATTCTATCATAAAGATTATTACAAAACATCTACAATTGACTACAATACACTTAGATAACTTGACAATGTGGGGTTTATCCCCAACCCTAAATAGCGCTTTAAGATTATGGCTGATATCAGTTCGTTGTAGAAACCACAACCGTAATTCCCAACTCCAATGTCCAACTGCAAACCTTAGTGTCAATTCCTCACACTAATTTATAACTCACTCAGCCCTATCAAGTAGGTGGAGTCTGAAGGTCACATAAGAGTCGCCCGAAAGACTCCCGTAAATTATAGCCCCACCACATTTGTTTCAGATACTATGTTGTCGATATACCCTTGAGTATCTTTGGTAGACGATTTTTTCACACGCCAAACACCTAATCCAGTAAGGATATGATCTAAGCTAAGCAAAGTACAGTACAATCTTTATGATGAGCCACATAATAGTGAAAGCAAGGGTAGAATGGTACATATATAAACTCGTATTTGAGTGAGTTGACTGAATAGGTACATGCAAACTAATAGTACTTAAGATTATTAATACTATCCAGAATTTCAGTGACCTGATGTGCTACAGTTAGCCCATAGGTAAGTCGGTAGATAAAAAGTTGATTGCGTAGAAACAAATACAACAGGTAAAGATGTAGAAAGAAATTTTAGTTTATACGAGTTAACACGATTTTCCTCTTAAAAGTGGCAGATTCAGATCTTGAATAGGAATCGTAAGCAAACAAATTCTGTAAAACATGAGAGTACTCACTTTGAAGTCTGGAACGACTTGTTTTCTGGTAAACAATGTGAATTAATACATCGATCGCCATATATGCATCGATTCTTTAGGTAAAATGGACAGATATGTTTTCCCTGGTTAAAAAAAAAAGTCATTGTATACAACCTGAGGTTTCATTAGGATGAAACATTATCAAAAGTATAAAAAAATGATTTCAGGATTATTTAAAGTGTAGTTTAGTCGTTTTGTAGTAAGCTGTTAGCACTTCATTTTATTAATTGGAATAGTACCTACATGTTTTTATTCGGCTTTCAGTCGTATCTTTTATGCGACGGTTAAATTCACAGTTTCTCGTAACGAGATAGAACGACGATCGGATTTATGATAAATTGTTAAAAATCGAGTGTTCTGAACACTAAAACGAAGCTCTACTCACATGACTGAGTCTAACACTTGCTAAAGTAAAACAGGCTGACGTTTTCAATACAGAGGCTAAAATACAGGTAAAAATCGATATCATTAGTAGCAAAAACTGAAATGAGTGTAAGTGGAAAGATACACAAGATAGGAAGATGGGATTTGAATACTTTGAAAGCTAAATCTAGCAAAATACACGTTGAGGCCACAGTATACTGATCATGTTGAATAACTACTAATGGGGCCTAAGAACAAACTCCATTACACAGTTTTGAATTTTAGCAACACACATTTATGCAAGAAAAATACTGTGTTCAACCATGTTTTAGAGATTTGACAATAGTCCATTTTGTTCGTCCATTTATCATGAAACAGCTAAAACACGAATATATCGCCTAATAATTAGTAGATACACTACTATCTTATGTTACTACGTGCTTCTGGCGCAACTCCAAGTCATTTGCCGAATTCCCTATAGCTAATTTTATGCAAACTTACTGCATGTGACTGACCCTGCCCAAGCAACACAAAAAGGGGAAAGAAAGAGGAAAGGAGAAATAAGGCGGATGAAAGCGTAAATAAAGGGGAAATGTCGCTTTTTCGCCTTTATGACGGTTATTTAGGGGAAATTTCGCTTTTTCCCCCTTACGTCGTGTATTTGGGGGAAATTTGTCGACAATTCTACGTAACATACAGTGTTTGAATGAACCGCATCAAGAACTGAAGTTTTCATAAACTTCGACAAATTTAGGCACCGCTTAATAAAAAGCAAAAGTATTGTCATAGAAACAATGTACAAAATACCGAACCAGGCATTCGGTTGATACGCATATAGAGTGACTTCGTTTGTTGTTAAGTGTTCCGACATGCTTTGGAGCCATCACAAAAAACTTACGTGATGCAGGTGAGTGACGTGCTCTCAGATTTTCATGTTCATTGTAGCTGATTACCTTGTAAGGCCAATACTATGAGTTATATTGAAGTCAGTGAGAATGTTCGTAGACGTAGGGCGACTGTGAACTTGTCACGTTCCCTTGGCTGTCATAAATCCACTTATAACAGAAGGTGGAATAAAATGAAAGCTGTTTAACAACAGTAAAATAACTTCATGTCAGCCTGATAATGTAGAAGTAGTGAACGGCCAGACAGGTTTAGTCACTGATATAAAGAAGGATGGACTACTAAAATTTAGGACTTTCACTGACGCACGCAATTACTTTGAAGATCCTTTCCCATCTACTGATATTGAAATCTATAGGTGCTTCGTAGTTAGCCATGAACACACCTGGATCTCGGTTAAGGACATAGATTGTAAATGTATGGCCATGAATTGTATGAGTTATCTAGTTCTTATCCCATTGCTGCATACTTGGCTGTAAATGCATTTTGTTTCACTAGTGTTGAATAAATAACAACAAATAATTTACTTACGTCTTATGTTATTTTCAGCCCGCTAACAAGAAGTACGTCATTGTTGACGTCCTCAGAAAAAAACAACTGATGATAGCATCCAAGGAGTGGATAGTAGGCAAGGAACTTTGCGCTTTTCCGAACGAGCTGGTCGATATACACCTTCAGAAGTGCGACCAACCGAATGAAAATTGGTCACTTATGAAATGTAAAGTGATTCACGAATTAGGTAGGTTACATACACAGAAAGTATAATTCACTATAGATTCTCTGCAGTCTGCAAAAGATCTGTTAGTTGCCCTACATATACTGGAATCTCAACGGATGAAAACACGTTGCCACTTAACACTGAGAAGCCAAAGAGGTCTGTACAATAATCTTACTTACATTTCCTAGAGGTGTGATGAAGCGCAAAGAAGATTTTCTTTACAATTCAGTCGACATGGATGTGGCTGAGATGCAGGCTGGGAATAGCCGCGTACAATATCCCAAATTCCGTGTTTTCGACAAACTGATATCGCCAATCGCCAAGTACGTTTAATTACTATTTAGATATTCACGATTTAGTTCGACACAATTAGAGACATCACCATCCACATCGGAATGTAAGCATGTTGGTGGCGCTATAGTGGACCAGTAAGTAACCTGCATCTTCTAGTGACCTTTTTCAGCTGTGATAGGTTGTATACTGTGGTGCTGAACATGTCATCAGCTATCAATGACTTGACTAAAACGATTAACAACATATCGTCCGCCATTATGGACTTGAATGTTAATGTAAACCAATTGCTTTCAAAGTCTAATGAGCGCGAAAGACCGCATCAATTCGATTGCGGACTGTCAAGTCAGCAGTTCCCTTTGTCATCTGAAGAGGAACTACAGATGCTAGATACTGGTTTGTCGCAGAAAGAAACCAGGGACAGATTTGTAAGTCATTTACATGAATTTAATAATTTGTTACGTTTACAGATGGCAATGGTCACTAGGTTATCAAGTGACGATCCAAAAACGTCCATGCTGTTGAAATGCCCGCATCTTCAAATATAATATACTTTAATACTTTCCAGTTTGTTTGCTTGTATTCGTATATGCTACAATAGTGCCTCCACGTATGACATAATGACGGATTTAAAAGAAAACAGAAACATGTAAAGGGATGCATGGTGAGAAATCTACAATTTATTACAGACATCTTTGTTACTACCTCCATGATTTCCACACTAATTTCCCGTTAATTATCGTTTTTTGCAGCTGTGCAAGTGCATAGTTTGGTAGCTGAGAGAGTTATGATTTAGACTGTATGTTGGTATGAACTTCATATAGAGGATGTAAAAACGACCTTTAGAATGCGTCGTTGTAGAAACTCAAGCAAAACAAACGTATAATAATTAATTATCATAATAGTTTTAATACCGCGTGTCTAATTCTGTCATTTACTGATTGATTTAGGCTTTGGCTAAACTAAGCATATTTGACTGAAGATTGCCTACCTTGAAAGATAATTAGTTTGATATGCATATAACATAGAACTAACTTAACAATGTTCAACTTGCCGACTTTTTAAATAACTTTACAAACACACTGTGGCAAATTTCTTTAGTCTATCACTAACTAGCTCAATATATTGTTTGTTAGCTTCAGGAATATGGTGTAACGCAGAACGTGTGGTATCAGAAGGTAGCAAATAATTCCTATGTCCAATATCTTGGTGAGAAACTTATGTAAACCGATTGATTTCTTCTCGATCCCTTCTCTTCGTTGTCTTGGTAAGGTTCCAGGTCCTCGGGTTCACTCGACTTCACTAATACTGGTCGGTTTGGAAGCAATTTGTGGGTTTGTTTAGTTACAATGATAATATGGTTGTGGAGGGAATCGAAGAAGCTTTTATTTATTGAGCTTCCGTATACATTAGCAACAAATCACCGATTTTTCGAGGTGGGAACCTAAGTACATTTAATGTTATGCATTACAAGTCACTCCTTAGTGTTACTGTTGATTTTAAGTGTCATCGTGGTATTTGTTGAAATCTTTAGAAATAAGTAGTTGTGCTGATTTAATTTGCTTTTTACAGTCGAAACGTCTGTTAAAACTCCATGGCAAGTTACCGGATTAAAAAGTGGAATGATGGTATTTTCAGAGACCAGTTAAAGAGAAATGTTAATTAATCACAATGACGTACTGTCCCGAGTCCGTAAGAACATGTCAAGCTCCATCTTGGAGGACTTCAGGGGATTCACTCGGATCATTTCAGACGTCAGCGAGTCCCAGGAGTTGACCGCTTTCAAAGAGTAGAAAGTGAACGTACAATCCACTGTGTTATGTAATGCCTCTAATTTTTTGGGTACTGCTCCTGAGATTTACGTTGGGACTGATCCGGGGTAAGTATTTAACGGGATGACTGAAGGTGTTTAGGATGCTATATGTCATTAGAAAGTTAACTCTCTGACGTCCATACTCTAGTGGGTAAAAATCCACTGAATTCATGAGCTTTTCATACCACTTATATTTGAGTCCTGGTTTCGTGG